ACAGTCACTCACGGCAGCTCTGGGTAGCTCACAGTGGCTGCTGGCCGCTCATGCTGGCTGCCGACCACACACGGTAGCTTATGGCAGCCCGCTGCCAGGTCGAGCTGTTGTTCACCATCTTAGCTGTAGAGGGCAGTGTCACTGGCCCCCATGTGGGATCCGAACTGGGGTCCTGCTGCTCAGAGCTGGCGTCCCAAGCCAGCTCTTAACTAATGCGTTACTCGCCGGCCCTGCGATTGTTTCTTTATTCTGCCTAAAGAACATTCATTTGCATTTTCCTTTGGTGTGGATATGCTTATGACAAATTACTCCCGTTTAATTTACCTGAATCTGTCTTTTGAAGGGGTATTTTTACTAGATAAGCAGTTATTTTTCCTTTAGTCCTTTAAGATTATAATTCTACTCACTGTCTTCTGTATTCCAGTGTTTCTATTGAGAAATCAGTTGTAATTTACTTATCACTCCTTTGAATGTATACTTTTGCCCCCCATCTGCTACTTTTAAAATTTTCTCCGTTGATTTTTCAGAAGTGTTACTATGATGAAGTTACATGTAGTTTTCTTAGTTTTTATCTTAATTGGGATTTGCACTACTTCTAAAATCTGTGGATCAATGCTTTTTACCGTTTTGGAGAGTTCTAAAGTTATTGTTTTCAAATACAGATTTTGTGCCATTATTTATCTCCTTTCTATATGGTATTCTAATTACACATATGTTAGACCTTTTTACTGTATTTCGTAAATCTATTACATCCTTTTCATTATTTTTTATTCTCTTGTATGTTTAGTCTGCATATTTCTTGAGATCTACCTTTTGATTCATGACTTCTTTTCTCATGTGTGTCTTACATGCTGATAAAACCATTCATTTGGATTTATTTCTCAGTTCTAGAATTTCATTTGACTCTTTTTTAAATGATTTCCATTTTTTCTCCAAAACTTTCAGTCCCATCTTTTTATTTCTTTGAGCATATTAGGCATAGTTTTTTGTTTTGTTTTTTTTTTTTTTTAGCTGAGCCATCCTGCTACCTGTTGGCAGCTCAGCGGCTGCTCAGCTCGGGCTGGACTCGAACCGCTGTTGCTCAGAGCTCAAACTCTTGAGCGAGCTCTTAACCAACTGAGCCACTCGGCCGGCCCAGGCATAGTTATTTTAATATCAAATTCTGAAAACTTTAATTTTTTTCTAGCTCTTTTACTGTTATTATTTTCTTGGTTTTAGGTCACATTGTTTCATCTCTTTGTGTGAATGTCTGTTTTTTATTGAATGCCAGATATTGTATATGAAAAAAATAAAAAAAACTTGAAAGCTAGCATGCTGTTATTTTTATTCAAAGAGGACTTATTTTTGCTTCAGAAAGGTGGCCAAGTGACTGGTAACTTCTGATTGCCTTAATCCAGGCAGGAATTGAGAAGATTTGAATTTAGTCTCCATTAAAGTTGGTTTAATTCTAGTTCAGTTTTACTCAGGGTTCCAAGCATACCTCATTATTAGCTCCTCAGCTCCAATTTTTGTCCTCCTGTCCTCAGAAATTGTCTGTCTCTTCCCTTGCCTCTCAGAACCCTGTTCAGAATTTGCCAGTCCTTCTGTGGAAACACACCTCCTAAAGATATGCACACCTCTCTGAGTTTCCTTCTTGTCTGGAATCATGATTACATGATTCTTCACTGTTTTAGTCATTCTCAGTGCTTTCAGATAGATATTTTTGCTTTTAATATTGTCTACATTCTCTAGTTTTCACTGGAAGGGTTGATTAGTTACCTATTTGATCATGTAAAAATCAGAAAATATTGTGACTATTTTTTCTACTGAGTTATAATAGGTAAAATGACTAAAAATCTATACTTTTATGTGGCTCATCAAACGTTTTTCATTTGTTCATAATTTTACTGCAGTTTCTTAGCGTAGAGTTGGATGTACGTTTCTATCAGAAAGCTTTAAGGCATGTAAAGAGATAAACACTAATATGGATGAATGTCCAGAGTTACTATATATATGGTTAAATTAGGCTTCAAGTACATAAAGTTTAGTTGTTAATAAGCAAAATGCTTTTTAAGCTTAGTGTTATTTTGGCCACCTATCTCTTTTTAAGACAGAAGGAAAGGATATTGAAACTTTTCAAATTCATTTAGATTCTTTGGCTTATCAGAAAATGGGTAATTTCATTTGCTTTTAAAATCCTTTTTAATAGAATACTTCTTGGAAAAACCAACTAAGAAGGACTTAATTTGATAGAAACAAGGTTTTTTTCTGATAATGTATTAACTCAATTTTATTCAGATAGCAAAATGCTGTTCTCTTTGTTCATCTTTGCAGAACTTAAGAAATTATAACTATTTGTCACTTCTTTCCTTTTCTCTAAATTTATTTCCTTATTTATTGATCAAAAAGTTTTTAAAGTTATCAAGGATTCCATGCACTTCCAAGATAGGGATACCATCAATCTAAAGACTCAATTCTTTTCTGTCTCCACTGCTTACAGACAGGGAGCACAATCTCTTCAGCCTGGACCTCTGTAGAAGAATTTGGAGAAAATAAACAGGTAAGAAAACATCTCTTAGGAATATTAAGTGACATATTTAGTTTTCAGAAAGCCAGTTATAAATTATTCTTCTTATAGTTATAAGGAGAAATGATTAAAACTATCCAATAAAACCTTGTGAAATATTTTGATTATTGTACTTTTGTTAATTATAGACTCATGAAGTAAAGTTTGAAAAAGTTAAACTGGTTTGCATATTTCAAGTCTTCTCAAAACTTTTAACATGATAGTGTTCACTGTGAACCACCAAGATGGTAAAAAGTATTTTAAGGTGATGTAGTTGGAGTATGTTATGTGTAGATTATCCAGCATTTCTCAAATTTACCTGAAAATGGAACTCTTAATTTTTTTCACATTTATTAATTCAAAATTATTGATACGATTTAGAATAAAGGTTATGTTTTTGAGGATTCACTGTTCAGTTTTTCAACATGGTACTGAGAAGAGTAAGTTTTAGTAGGAAGTTAAAGGTAGTTTATAGTTTGAGTCAAGATTATTACTGTCCAAACTCCTTTTTACACGTAGAGACAAAAAGAATGTTGTGGTTCCCTGGGTAGCAATCCATGTACTAATTCTGTGTTTTTAAGCAAATTACTTTACCTTTCTGTGCCTCAGTCACCTTGTTGTTAAAGAGGAAAATAATAGTACTTATCTTGTGAGGAGTAAATAATGCGGATCGTAAATAGTTATTTTGGGCACTTAGTAAGTGCTCAATAAATATTAGCTTTTATTAATATAACATGTTGCAGAAACAGATATATATTTGTTATGCTTGAGACTTATAACTTTATAGATCTCAATCTTAGCATAAAAATTGAAATACAAACCTGCAATGCTATTCTCAGAAATATCTTTTCCTACAAGTTTTTATGCTTGAAATTTTGAATTAGGAGGACTAATTTTACTGATAGAAATGAAACTTGAGAAGAGTTACCGGTATCTTTTCTAAGGCTTCTACCTTCTCTTCGCTTTTGCCCAGGTAGTGAGCTACACTTTTTTGAGCTGTTGAAGCCTGTATTGCTGCAGCTCAGATGATAATTTTCCTCTTATAGGCCTGCTGTTCTATTACTGTGTTTCCGAGTGGTTTAGAAACTAGCATTAAAAGGAATTTGACATAATTAATCTTTTAATACAAAGTTAGCAAACTGGATGCTCTATATTTATTTTTTTTTTGGTCTTTCTAGCGTTTTGAAAGGAAAACATTGAGGCTTTATTTTAGTACAAATAGCTGCACACCTGTTGTTTTCCATTTGGTTCTCTTTGAGTTCTTTTTTTGTTTGTTACATCTTGGCTCTGAAGGCATTTGAGTTTGTAATCACTTTGTTTAACATATTTCATCAGTTTTTCTGTTTTTAAAGTTTCCCTATTACATATTATCACCATTAAAAGTTCTTCCTAAACTGACGTAAAGTTGTTCAGTGAAAATAACCGTTTCTAAGGTCAAACTACTGTGTACTCCCCTGGGAAATCAAATGCATATTAGCATATTAAATAATTGTAGTAGCAACCTGTTTAACTGTTAAACTCATCTTTCCTAAATTCTTCCCAAGAATATTTTGGCTAAGGGATTCTTGTTTTGAGGTACTTCAATTGTATAGGATGTAGTTTGGGAAACACTGAAACTAACTCAAACACTTAGGTTTGTTTATAGCTATATTGAGGTATAATTGAAATACAATAAAATACACACATTTAAAGTTAAATTTTGGCCAGTTTTGAATTATGTTTTTTTTTTGTGAAACAACACCACAAATCAAGAAAACAAACATTTTCATCACCCCTAACATAATCCATTCCTGCTATGTTCTTTCCCAGGAAGGCAACCACTGATCTGATTGCTTTTACTATAGACTAATTTGCATTTTCTAGAATTTCACACTCTTGTTTTTGAAGGTTTAAACTATAATCTTCAGATAATTTAGAATGAAACAACTGTAATTTATGAAAAATAAAAGTACAGATATGACAGATTTTATGATAATTGTTATACACTATAAAAATTTCACAGTAAAAATTTAAAACCCAAATCACTCTTTCAAAATTATATGGGAAAATGTATTGTAATTTTTAAAATAATTTCGTTAAAAGCAGAACCGTGTCGCTAACCCTAACCCTAACACTAACCCTAGCTCTGTCCTTGTCCCTAACCCTAACCCTGTCCCTAACCATAGCCCGAACCCTAAACCTACTCCTAACCCTAACCCTGTCCCTAACCCTAACCTTAACCCTAACCCTAACTCTGTCCCTAACTGTAAATCTAACCCTAACCCTGTCCCTAACCCTAACCCTGACCCTGTCCCTAATCCTAACCCTAACCATGTCCCTAACCTTAGCCCAAACCCTAAACCTAATCCTAAACCTAACCGTAACCGTGTCCCTAACTAACCCTGTCCCTAAACCTAACCCTAACTACAGAAAAAAACCAAAAAACAATAGCAGATTTCTTCCAAAAAGTTGAATCTGAAAAATATCATTACCGTAGTTAAAATAGAGAGTTAATCAACTAGAGCTTTATAAGGAAGCAATTGTAGATGATAACCTTATCCAGCCATCCATTACTAAGATTAGCATACTTGGAGCCTCCTATGACTGATCTAAAACAGAAACACTGGCCTAAACTACTCGGTAGGCCTACTCTTTTGAAAAAAACTTTGGTCACTTCATGGCCACTTCTTGCCCTTTGCTCAGTTGCCTGACAGGAAAAATTAAATAGAATACAAAACTACCTTGTTTTGATTTTGTCAAAATGTAACCGTAATAGGGAAGGTAAATGAGATAAAAATACCAATGAATTTGATAATACTAATGTGTTTCAGCCAAAAGTATCACTTAAAATTTTCTAGTTAATGATTTTTAAATATTTCACAAGTTTTAAGTTGCTTAATAACTAGCAAGTCCGAAAATTCTTCTACTTTATACTTAGCTTTTGATTTTCTGTATTAACATGGAAAGTACAAATAACGATAAATGTTATTTATATTTTAATATAGATTTTTTTTTTATCTCTATGGTTGAACCTAGTCAGCCGTATTTTATGTTCTGGGTATGTACAGTGCTGTAAAAGACCTTTATTTTGCAGATGAAATTCAGTGGTTTAGTGAAGGAAAGCTATTGAGTTATTTCGGTTATGGCTATTTGAATGTTAGCAATTGAAATAATAAAATGGTGAAATGAGGACTTTTTCAAAAATTTTGATAAATATCCCATAAAAAAGTAAAGAAATGCTTAAAATATGTATTAAAGATATGGGAAATGTATTTTATAGATAAAAATATCAGGTGTTTCACTCTCATACATTGCTGTTAGGAGTGTAAAATGGTATAAGCTGCCTTGGAAAATAGTTGGTAGTACCTCAAAAAGCTAAGCGTAGAGTTACCCATATGTACCAGCAATTCCATTCCTAGATATATTTATTCAAGAGAATTGAAAACATATCCACACAAAATCTTGCACACATTATTTCTTAGCATTATTCACAACAGCCCAAAGGTGGAAACAACCTAAATGTCCATTGAGTGATGAATCGATAAACAAAATGTGGTAAATCTATACAATGAATATAAAAAGGAAAGATGTTCTGATACATACTACAACGTGGATGAACCTTGAAAACATGCTGAGAAGCCAGTTTAAAAAGACCACATAAATTGTATGATTCCATTTATAGGAAAAATCCAGAATAGGCAAATTTGTAAAAACAGAAAAATCAGTGGTTGCTGGGGCTAGGGGAGAGGGAATGGGGAAAGACTTATAATAGATACAGAGTTTTGTTGGGAGTGATGAAAGTATTCTGAATAGTGGCTTTGGTTGTACAACTTTATGAAATCTTATAAACATCTGAAGCTTTTTATGTCCTAATCTTTGTAGTATTTGCGGAAATTTTTCTTCTCTTGATTTATCCTGTGTGAATAAAGTCATCAATGGCAACTTTTAATTTTTTATTTTAGTCTCCTTAAAAAAGTGAGAATGCATCAGTTGATTATTGCATTTTTAAGTTAAAGGCTTACAGTAGGGTACTATCAGCAAGGCGCATTTTCAGACCTAAGCGTTCCGCCATTAGTCAGTTGTCTGGCTATCTTTGTGAAATCTTCCTCTGAAGAAAACTCTTCTATCCACATATCATGAGTAGGCCATATAAGCTCTTGAATGATAAACACAAAGTGAAAGTAATTTTTCTGAAAAACATTTCTCCACCTACAGAAATGTAACTAAAGATCTGCTCTTCTAAATCTTGTTGTCTATGACTACATTGATAAAATTTGAAAGGGCAAGTTGTGTCACAGATACATGGCTGAAAAGGATTTGATTGAATTTGTGTAATCTTTAGGAGGAAAGAGTCAGAACTTTTTTAAAAACAATTATTTGAATTATAGGAGCACTAAGTTTTCTATTTACACTTAATACCGTAACCATTCAGACAAAGTGGATCCTTTAAGAGGAGAATTCTGTGATACCTGGAGTTATCCTACTTTGGTGTCAAAGTAATTCCTTATCCAATTTCAAAATACTGAAAAGAATTTGTACTGGATGTTTTCAATGTATTTATGTCTTGGAACAAACTGCTTTTATTAATCTTATGGTACCATTAATAAAAATACAATGGTTATAAAATTATTGGAGTTTTACAATGCTAGAAATTAACCTATATTTATTTTTTTCCATTTTTTTTCCTAACTAGGTCATTTCTGATGTTGCTTGAACTCATTCTTCTGCAGTTGACCTCATTCCTGTTGGCTAAATATTAAGTTGCATGACAACATTAACTTAATGCTTGTATGTTTTAGGCCTCATTTATAGTTCCAGTAAAATATAGAAAAAAACCTTACCAGTACATTAAATAACCTAATTCTTTTTTGACTATTGTTAGAAACACCAAAACTTTTATAAATAATTATTTATAGTATCGTCACATCCTTGGCTTATTCTACACTAAAGAACATAGTTGAGTTTTTGGAAAGTACAGGATTTGCAAATTTGGTCTTTAATATTCACACACATCTATAAACATTACAATTAATGAAGCAGGAAATTATTGCTGCATTAGATGAATGTTTATTATGGAACAGTAATATTTCAAATATGATTTTTTAAAAATTTGGTTTAATTTTTAGATTTTTCTATACTATAAGTTGATAATGGTTTCTTGAAGTTTATTTTATAAAGATGATTCATTTTACTGGTTTATGGTACAAGTAGAATCCAATGTTAAATTGTATGTTGAGTTGTAAAAATATTTATATTAGTATTGAAATAATGAAATACTGGATAGTTAGTTTTTGCAGTCCAGCGGTGAATGTTTCTGCTGGTTTGGTGCCTAATACAGTTTCAAAAAAAGAAGCAAATATGAATTCACTGTTATTTCTTTTCTTCATGGACTAACCCTTAGCATCAAAACTAAGTTTAAAAGGAGCTTCATTATGGAGCAAGAGAAATCAGAGATTTTCTTTTTCTGATTAAAAAAAAAAAAAAGAAAACATTGAATAGATATCCAGGAAATAGATATCCAAGAATGCATTTTAGTAAGATCTCTGAAACGTTGTCAGTGAAAGAAATATAATACTGACTGAAAAAAATGTCAGGATTTGCCGTGCAGTGAAGCTGAATCAGTCTTTATCAACAATAAGTATTATCAGGATTTTGAGTGTGAGAAAGTTATATTAAAATGTGATTATAGTTTTAATGCTTTGTCTCTTTGAAATAAATTTGTATCCACAAAGATGTGCAGCATAATTCTTCATGTATTTGTTTACAGACTACAATTTCCATCGCAGCTCAATAAATAGTCTTTCCCCTGTTAGCGCTGCCCTCTCTTCTGGGACTCCCAGCGTGCTTCCTTATGCTGCACGGCCTTATTCTTATCCAGTCTATCCCTTGTCACCACCAGTATCACTTGCTAATGGCAGCCATGTTGGACAGCGACTGTATATCTCCAATCAGGCCTCATTCTTCTGAAGAAAATACTGTAAACATGAGTATGAAAGTTTCTTTGTAAAACATGCAAATTAAAATACTGTTTTATTTTAGAATTGGGTTTGCATATTCGGTTTTAAAATGGCATATATATATATATATATATATATATATATATATGTATGTATATATGTATGGATTTATTTCAACATAGTAAAATAAACATCACCCATAATTCAGAATAACCCACAGTTGTAGAACTTGTAAAAATGGTAAGTTTAAAAAGTTACTCAGTGGTTTCTTTTGATAATGGTATAACAAACAACTATTCTTTTTAAACTTTTGGAATTTTAAATACTTCTGATTCCAGAGTTGGCAACAGAACTCAGTAGTTTATGTTAAATTTTTGCATAATAACTTTGCTACATAGCATTTCACAATATAAAAGTACTTGCAGACGATGGTTACACTGGATTTGATTACCAAGGATCACTATCTGTACTAGAGATTAGAACCGTTATATAACAGAAGCATCTAACTATTATGTAGAAAGAAATGAAGGGCAAAAAGTAAGATGCAAATTTTACCCAGTACTAAAGAAGAAAAGCAATCTACCATTGTGGTCCTTAAAAATAACTATAAATATTTTAGTTGATAATTATTTGTTGTAGAAATAAATTGTAATTTTGCTGTTAATGTATTTAAGATTTTTATAGTTATGCCTCATTTGTGTTTTTGATATTCACTGTATAGTTTGAATAATAAGTGTTATGGTTTTTTAATGTTGAAATCATGTGTTGTTTAATTTTTGTACTTGAATTCAAATTTTTGACATTAAATATGTGATGCTTCTAATATGCATGTGTTTTATTTTTGATTATTAGTATAATTAGCACAAAAAATTAGCTTTCACAATTATTTTGACCTTTTCTTGAGAACAATTTCCTTTACTAGTATAGTCATTGGCTGAGTGTCTTCATGGGACCAAAACAAAGGATTTTGCAGAAAATTGTTAGTTTTATGAAACATAGTAACAAAAATACTTTTTGAGGACTAAAGAAATATCTTGTTGATGAACCCAGTGAAATTTCCCCCTTATGAATAATTAAATGGCTCTTCCCGAAAGCGGCCTGAGGTGACCTCTCAAAATGGTTCGCTATTCTCTTGACCTGGAGAACCCCACAAAATCATCATGTAAATCGAGAGGTTCGAATCTACTGGTTTATTTTAAGAACACTCATGAAACTGCCCAGGCCATCAAGGGTATGCATATCCGAAAAGCCACCAAGTATCTAAAGGATGTCACATTACAAAAACAATGTGTGCCTTTCCGTCGTTACAATGGTGGAGTTGGGAGGTGTGCCCAGGCCAAACAGTGAGGTTGGACGCAGGGTCGGTGGCCCAAAAAGAATGCAGAAGTTTTACTGCACATGGTTAAAAATGCAGAGAGGAATGCTGAACTTAAGGGTTTAGATGTAGACTTTCTAGTCATAGAGCACATCCAAGATGCGGCACAGAACTTACAGAGCTCACGGACGGATCAACCCCTACATGAGCTCTCCCTGCCACATTGAGATGATCCTAACTGAAAAGGAACAAATTGTTCCTAAACCAGAAGAGGAAGTTGCACAGAAGAAAAAGATCTCCCAGAAGAAACTGAAGAAACAAAAACTTATGACCCGGGAGTAAATTCAACATCAAATAAATGCTAATAAAAGTAAAAGCAGAAAAAAAAAACAATACTGGTTATTTTGACTTTAATAATTTAGTAGTGTACATTTCTAATGAATTTCTAATGATGGTTTACATAATTGATATAGACAAAATCTTTTCACTCTTTGATACTGACATTAACTTTGCTGATCAACTCATTGTGTAGCTGTATGAAAGGTTATGAAGAAAGTTTAACTTTATCTCTCTTTTCTAGTTTTTCTTTTACAAAGTTGGAGTAGGAAAGTTTTCTTTCTGTAACTGACTCAAAATCTAGAAGCCGTAATAGAAAAGGTTGTTAGGTCCAATTTAAAAAGAAAAGCCTGAATGGGAAGAAGGCACCAATGGTGTCAGAAGACAAATGATAAACTTGAACAATAATTGCAGATAATTTCACAAAGGGCTAATATTTAATATTTCCAGTTATCAATAAAAAAAGACCATCCACTCAAGAAAAAAATGTATAAAATATGTGAATAGGCAGACAGATGGCCTTTAAAAGTATAAAAAGATGCAGTATCTCAGAGAAATATAAAGGTTTAGATTTGCAGAAATTAAAAAGTTTTACAAACTTTCGGTAAGCCTTTTAGGAAAAGAGCGTTCTCATACTTTTACGGTGGGATTATAAATTGGTATAAGTAGTATAGAGAGCAGCTTGGCACCCATCATTCAGAATTATGAATAAAGTTTTTTGAACAGCAGTCCTTCTGGGATATATTTGCGCGCGCGTGTGTGTGAAGTTATGTATGTAAAAGGCTATTAAAGCATGGTTTGTAACCTGAATATACCTATCATTAGGGGACTGATTAAATAAAATACATTTATTGGTGCATACTCAGTCATTATACAAAAGAATAAGGATGCTCGCTCTTTATTCCTAATATAGAAAGACATAATAAGTGGAAAAGAGCAAGGTTCAGAAATATATGTGTAATATACTATGCTGTATTTTGGATAAAGAGGGAGAAAACATTTGTATGTACTTAACATTTACAAACAAAACTGTGGAAGGCTTTACAGAAAACTAAGTGATTATGAGGAAGGTGGCTGAGATCACACTTTAAAAGTATCCTTTGTTCCAAACACAGTGCAATGATAAATTTATCTGTCTGTATATATCAATCTATCACCAATCTATTGTATTTTTAAAATGAAAAGACATATAACTCTTCTCAGAAACAAAATAAAGATCTCTTGTGAACCATAATCTAAACAGAAACGCACTAGGGAAACCTACACTGGTTTATTTACGCAGTGACCAGAAGTTAAGGGTATTGAGTAGGGATCCAGGGCAAATAGACGTAAGTGTTAAATGCAGCAGTGCAAGCAGCTATACACTTCATCCCTTTGGACTCGATGGGTCCAGTGTATTTGAATGTGTCATTAATTATGATGTGTGTGTGAAGCATGTATAATCTCTTACAGGAAAAACATAGTGAAGACCTCTTAAGATTTGGGATAAAGCCATGCTCTCTTAGGTAAATAATTCACCTCCTTCTGAGAAACAGCTCTGAGCTAGTGATTAGGATTAATGGAGACTGACCCTCATGAATTGTGTGTTATTTGATTGCCACATCCATTTCAGCATGTCCAGCCGCGCTGCCCTCAAGTGGAAATGGTGCATGACTGTCTGGAGGACTGTGTGCCATGCTGCCATCCCTCACTCAGCCTTTTGTATCATGGAGGATTCCTAAAATCAGTTGGCTACGGGGAATAAAATTTGGAACCTAGTATTAAAAGGATAATTGAGGTCACCAAAAACTAAATCTCTACACATTTCTCTAGAAACTATACAGAACAGTAAAAACCAAGTGACACATGATCCATAGCTTCAGCATAACTAGCAACACTACAATTTGCAAACTACCTTAAGTAAAAATATGGACATCAAATTCCAGAAGAGATTTTTATTGAGGTATATTTCACATATATTAGTTTAAGGTATACAACATAATTCAATATTTATATATTGTGAAAGGATCACCAAATCTAGTTAAAATTCATCACCACACAGTTACAATGCTTTCCTTGTGATGAGTACTTTTAAGACTTACTCTCTCAGCAACTTTAAAATATACGAAACGGTATTATTAACTATAGTCATTATGCTGTACATTCCATTTCATAACTTATTTTATAGCCAAAAGTTTGTGTTTTTTGACCCCTTTACTCATTTTTTATCCCCAACCCCCCACCTCTGGCAGACGCCAACCTATCTATTCCCTGGATCTATGAGTTCAGGTTTTATTTTTGTTTTGTTTTCGGGTTCCACATATAAATGTGACCATACAGTATTTGTCTTTGCCTGATTTATTTCACTTAGCTTAATGCCTTCAAGTTCCATCCATTTTGTCACAGATGGCAAGATTTCCTTTTTTATCACTGAATAGTATTCCATATTTGTGTGTGTGTGTGTGTGGTGTGTGTGTGTGTGTGTGTGTGTGTGTGAACTTTATTCATCCGTTGATGGACACTTAGGTTGCTTCCATGTCTTGGCTGCATAAATAATGCTGCAATGAAATTGGGTGCATATATCTTTTCAAGTTAGTATTTTTATTTCCTTCTTGTAAAGACTCAGAAGTGGACTTGCTGGATGATATGGTAGTTCTATTTTCAATTTTTTGGTGACCATACTGGTTTTGTAATGGTTGGACCAATTTACATTTCTGTCAACAGTGCACAAGGGTTCCCTTTTCTCCACATTCTTACCAACACTTGTTACCTCTTGTCTTTTTCATGATAGCTACTCTAACGTGTGAGGCAATATTATGGTTTTGATTTACATTTGCCTAATCATGAGTGATATTAAGTAGCTTTTCATGTACCTGTTGGCCATCTGCATGTCTTTGTAAACGTGTCTATTCGGATCATCTGTTCATTTTTATTTTTTTTATTTTATTTTATTTTTTTTTAGCTGAGCCATCCTGCTACCTGTTGGCAGCTCAGCGGCTGCTCAGCTCGGGCTGGACTCGAACCACTGTTGCTCAGAGCTCAAACTCTTGAGCGAGCTCTTAACCAACTGAGCCATTCGGCTGGCCCTCATCTGTTCATTTTTAAATCACCTTGTTTTTTTCTATTGAGTTGTATAGTTTGTATAAAAAATGAATACATATTTTGGATATTACATCATATCAGATAAATGATTTGCAAATATTTTCTCCTTTAGGTTGCCTTTTTATTGAATGTTTTCTTTTGCTGTACAGAAGCTTCGTAGTAGTTTGAAGTCACCTCACTTGTTTACTTGTGCTTTTCCTGCCTTTGCTTTTGGTGTCGTATCCTAAATATCATTGCCAAGACCAAAGTCTAGGAGCTTACCCCTTTTCTTTTAGGAGTTTTATTATTTCATGTCTTATATTAAAGTTTTTACTTCATTTTGTATATGTTGTAAGATAGGGATCCAGTTTTATTATGCATGTGGCCATCCAGTTTTCCTAGTCCATTTATTGAAGACACTATCCCTTCCCCACTGTATACTCTTGGGTCCTTGGTTGTAAATTAATCGCCCATATATGCATTGGTTTATTTCTGTGTTCTCTATTCCAATGACTTATGTGTCTGTTTTTATGCAAATACCATACTGTTTTGATGATTATAGCTTTGTAATGTAGTTTGAAACAAAGCAGTATGATGCCTTCAGCTTTGTTCTTCTTCCTCCAGATTGCTGTGGCTATTTGGGGTCTTCCATGGTTTCGTACAAATTATAGGATTTTTTTTTTATTTCTGTGAAAAATGCCATTGGAATTTGATAGGATTATGTAGAATCTGCATATTGCTTTGGGGAGTATGGGTATTTTAACAATATTTATTCTTCCAGTCCATGACACAGGATGTCTTTTATTTGTGTCTTCTTCAGGTTCTTTCATCAGTGTCTTAATTTTCAGTGTATAGGTCTTTCACTTCCTTGGTTATATTTATTCCTAGGGTTTTTGGGTTTTTTTGATGTACTTGTAAATGATATTGTTTTATTAATTACTCTTTCTGATAGTTTGTTACTAGTGTATTGAAAAGCAATGATTTTTGTATACTTATTTTGTATCCTGAAGCTTTCCTGAATTCATTTAT